ACCCCTCTCGATTTAGATTGGAGATTAGACTGAAACACCTGACCAGACTAGCGCCTGTATCTGCCTTACGCAAATGGGTCTCCTGCAAAAAAGTAATATTAGCATCAGGTTGTCTTAAATGTGTCATAACTTTCCTAAAATTCACTGGACCATTGAGGGATTTCACATTCCAACTCACACAGTTAACTGGGTTACTGAACTGCTCATGTATAGTCAATCGGACTGTAGTACAATATCCACAAACCATCACAAAAAATAACCTGAAAAGACAAAACAAATAGATCCGGTATAGTCCCACCCCTGTCTCCTAAAAAAAAATGGAGAACCCAACAAACAAAAAGTCCACACATTTGTGCTTATCCTGGGGGACTTAACTCCCTGCCTGGACTCCCGCCACAACTAAATAACAATAACAAAAAATTTTTTTAAATGGGGTTCCCTTACTTTAAAGTATTATTACTGTTTATGCTCCTTGCTGCACTGATAAATAAATCACTAACCAAGATCTGGACAGACCCCCTGTGAAACTCTCATACATAAAACAAAAAGAGGAATTCAATTCAATTCAAAAATACTTTACTGATCCCAGAGGGAAATTAGGTATGGAATGTTGTCCCTCGGAATAAAGTCTAAAATTAAATTAAGGTATAGCGTGGGACATAAAATTGGAAGGTTCATTACAACCTGACAGTCATAATGGATCGATGAGGATTGGACCTGCGGTCAACGCCGGTCCTCGTTGTCCGTCGCTGAGATGATCCTCTTTTTAATGTAGTCTATTGCTTTATTGGCATCCAGGAATTCCTTGTTTTCCTCCCCATGAGAGATGTGGAGCCGTGCAGGAAAAAGCAAGCAGTAGCGAACATCTCGTCAGTTGCGAAGAAGCCTCCTTACCTCCGTAAACGCCGCCCGAGCCTTGGATACAGCCGCCGTGTAGTCAGATGTGATGATAATCGGTGCCTCCTTAAAACGAAGATGGCCGCGGCTCCACGCCCGATGCAATATTTCCACACATTCTGGATAATAGTGCAGCTTAGCAACAATAACCCGCGGCTTATCACCTGACCTGTTCCCACCTGGAGAGCGATGTGCTCGGTCAACCAGTGGCTCTTTATCCRTCTGTAGAACCTCTGCTAGCAGTTTAGCCACTGCTGAAGTGGAGCTGGATTCTGGCATCTCGGGAACTCCAATAATCTGCACTTTGCACCTTCTCATGCGCCCTTCCATATCGTCACACTTCTTTTTTAGCCCATCGACTTCTTTCAGTTCCAACACGGTGGTGCGCAGAGCAACAACCTCATCGGACCAGGTCGACAAGCCATCCTCCACGTCTTAACGCTTTGCTTAAGGTGGTCCAGGTCGGCGCGCAGTAGCATTGTGTCATTAGCTACCTCCGCTCTCACCGCTTGTAGCTCTCCTTTAATAAGARTAAACTCTTCAGCCAAAGCCKCTTTTATTTCGGATTTGATCACAGCTGAGAGATCGGTTTTTATAACGGCAAGAATGTCAGACTTCAAGAAGAGTGCGTCCACCTCGCCGCGGGAGGGAGAAGGAGGCGCCGAAAATCCAGCAGCAGTCTGCTCCGAGGCGGCGTCAGACCTAACAGCCGCAGAGCTAGAATGTTTGCCTTTCCTCGAGTTTGTCGCCATTCTTCTACTCTTCCAGGCAAGAATCACTCAGGGGTCGAGTCCGGACAGACCAAATGCTCAAAACAGCAAGGACATTTAGTAGAGAACCACAAACAGAACAAGTCGGAGCGGGAGCCCACGCGATACACGTCTTACTCCTCTGCCATCTTGCCCCGCCGAAAAGTTTGCATTTTGAACTTGTTTTGTTGATTGATTTGTGTGTCCTCGGCGTGTGTGTTTCAGGTGAAGACTTCATTGTACCACCCACCAGAGCTGCCATGTCTCGGTCACATCCAGACAACGGTTTCTGCTGTTGGAGATGATGGTCTCATTTATGTCAGGACACAAAATGCAGGTACACAGAAAACAAACTAAGCACTATGGACAGATACTGTATGTATTAGCATGCTGTTTAAATGTTATGACAATAATTGTTCAGAAGTAAAAAGTAAAACTTACATTTCTGTACACAAACTGACCCAAGCTTCTCACCTTTTTTCCTTTTCAAAATGTCAGATTTAGTGTCATGTTTGTCATTAATGCTGTATTATGATGTGCTAGTTCTTTCTGATGCATTAATGACAAACCTGACACTAAATCTGAGACATTTAGAAAAAAGGAGAAAATGGAAAGGAGTTTGGTTCAGTTTTTTTGTGGAAATATGAGTTGAGTTTTGGTTCTGGAGAGAGGTGGCACAGAGCTTAGAACAGGGCTATTCAACTGGCGGCCCGCGGGCCGGATATGGCACGCGAGTGACCAAAGTTCGGCCCGCCAATTGATTTATTCATCTCTTAAGCCCAAACCCCCGGTTTTCTACTTTAATTACTCTAAGTTCTTTTAGTTAAAGAGGACCTATTATGCGAAATTCACTTTTTAAAGGTTTTTTTACTTCACTTTGGGTATGTACTTATTAAAAAAATAGTCCTAGGACCAAAAAAATGCACCCAGGGGCATATTTACTGTAAGTAAATGTATTTTTAATGTATATTAACAACAAGTTTTATACTTACGTCTTTTTGTGATGTCACAAGCCATACAACAACCCACCGGAACCTGCATTCACCCCTTACCTAACAACCCCCGGGCGAGACTCCACCTCATCAGTATAAAAAGCCTTCACGGTTGTTGTTGTGCAATGCGCAGCTCATTTCACAACAAGCCTCCAATAGGGCAATGGGTAGAGTGTCGGACCAGAGAGTGGGAGACCGGGGTTTGAGACCGGCACGGACATAATTTAATTGTTTATTTATTTTTGTTCGTTATGAACGCGTTTTCCTATGTACCTCTATTGTTTAGCTTATTAAAGCCTTATTAAAGCCTATTTGTTCGAGTTTCTGAGGTATTTTTACCGCTGCTGCTCCCTGCTCTGGTAACAGCATGCAGAGTGAGCGCAGAGCAGAGGAGGGGGAGAAAAAAAAAGAAAGAAGCTGCGACCACGACTCTGCCTCTGGGTCTCTCACGTAAACGCTGGCTTTGGAGGGCAGAGTTAATGTCAACAGATTTTTGGAGGGTGTTACCAACAGAGCTCATTAACATAAACAGCTCTTCTGAACGGAAGTCAGAGCAGACAGAACTAGAAAATGGGAAATTTTATTATCTGAGAATTATTTTGTGCATTAAATTGAATGAACATGGTCTGGATAGCCCACAGACATACCATGAAAATTTCTAGGATCCATAATTGGTCTCCTTTAAACATAGACATGTTTGGTATCTACAGAAATGCCAGAATCTTGGCTAGAAGCTGGTAAAAAACATTTCTATAAACACTCAAAACAGTTAAAACTACGAGCAGTTGAAGATAAAATGATGAAAGTGAAAATAAAATTGGTTTAAAAAATTGGCAAGTCAGATGTCAAAATATTGTGTCTAATAATAGGATGTATGTGTTCTTTTTGTTTTTGATAATTAGTAATTATCACTACTTTTATAGGGTTCTGTATGTTGTATTCATGATTAAATGCAGCAAAATAAACTAATTCAAAGGTAACATATCTTTGTAATACTTGGTTTATTTACATAATAACTTTAATTGCTGGATGTTCGGCCCATCAGCTGTTGACCGACAGTAACTGTGGCCCTCGTAGCAATTTAGTTGAATAGCCCTGGCTTAGAGAAGACTTGGACTAGCTTGTAATTCTCAGTTTGCATTTTTAACTCGTTCAAATGTTTGTGTATTTAACTGAAGCAGAAATCTAAAAACAGATTGCCATGTGTTTATCAGAGTATCATCTGGAGCATCTGCGGGAAAGGATTCAGCAGAGCATGAAGACGTTGCCCAGACAGAAGCCCTACACTTGGAGGTCGGTGCAGGGCTGCGCTGTAATCGGACCCGACATGTTGTGGTACCGAGGACAGTTGCTGGAGTTACAGGGGGGACATGTTAAGGTCAGCTGATAACAAATTAAACCTTCCTTTGTTACTTTAAATTATTCAAAGTAGATAAAAACAACAAAACACTGTCAAATTGTAAAGAAAATCTTTTTGTTAAGAAAAGCTTTCCAAAACAATATTTCTAGTTGTTGAAGTTCTTTCCCCTTTAGACTCATTTGATTCTAATATTGGGTGTTAACAGGTACAATATGTGGATTATGGCCTGGTGGAGAACATCCCAGTGGTCCATGTGTACCCTATGCTGTTGTGTGATGATGTCCCTCAGCTCTGTGTGTCCTGCCAGCTGCTCAGCATCAACCCTGTAAGAATATGTGACTGTTTGTCCAACTCAAACCTGACTAACACATTAAAATGACTTTGACTGTTTTGAAAGCACCATATCCTGTCATGGTGAAAAATAAATAAGACCAACATTCTTTAAGAGCGGTCTTATCACAAGCATTATATCAATTAAATGGTAAATGGACTGTACTTATATAGCACCTTTCTATCCAACTAGGATACTCCAAGCTCTTCACATTCACACAGCACTCTACTACATCTCTACAAATCTAACATGTACAATCACCTATGGAGACTAATCACATTCAAACACTGATGGGAGACACAGCAGAGGCAGTGGGTGTGAAGTGAGTTGCACAGGGACACTTCAACATGTGACTGAATACTGGAGAATCAATCTACCAACTCTCTGATTTTGAGGACTCCCCCATTAACCACTCAGCCACAGTTGCCTCTTAATTAAATAATTTGACTGTTTTAATTGTAAGAACTCACTCTATGAAACTAAGACCAGCTCAATCTCACAAAATAATCTCCTACGCAAGATCTTTGCATTATGAAATCTCAGAAAATGACAAGA